TTAAGTGGTCGAGGAAGCCCATCATCTTTAGCATGTTCAATGGAATTGAGGACACAAGAAGATGGCTGACATTCTTTGATCTTTCTGAGCAAATCAGATACTCTTTCATTAGTTAACACTCTGTCACAAGCTTTCCTTGGATCAAAGTGTTCCCTGAGTTCTTGCTCTATGGCAGGATCTCTATTAGTGTCCTTTCTTGTCTTCTTATGTTTAAAAAATTTTAGATTTCTAATTTGGCTTGGTGCCACCTCCTTCTTTGTTCCTCTGTTCCAGCCTTGAGGGATGCTTGTACAGGCTGGTGAAATGTAGTCCTTCTTGAAAGCATAATTCACTTTATATAACAAGGCAATTACATGATTGCACACCTCACTAGTTCCTGCAATGCAGGAGCACCACGATGTAAGGATTTTTGATTTATCCTTTGGTCCCTCAGTACAAACCCACACATGATGTGGGTCATCGTTTAGTCTTTGCGAAGGAGAGACACATGCTTTTAAAAACAATAAGTTGTCATTGCATGAAGCATGGTATACAGTGTCTACAAAGCCACTAAGCCAATAAGAATATGCCTTTTGGTCTTTATATTTACCTATGTAATCTACATCCACTGCTTTCACTCTTAAGATGTAGCTAAAAAGCATTCCATCATCTAGATTTGGCCATTCATGGACGTTTTCCTTCCAGTCTTCTTTCTGAATAGAATTGGGGTCGGTGTTTATCCGATGTTTTTTTAGTCTCTGTTGGTACTCTTCTTTCAATTTCCTGTCAATTTCTTCTTGTGAAAACTTCTTAGGTGCTTTCAGCTCGTAGGCACCGAATGCTCTCGCCACAAGTTCGGCTTTTTTGCCTGTCTGTTTCAATCCTCGAAGTGCTAAAAAATCTTTCAACGAAGTCAGGGTCCAGTTCAAAAAGTCTTGATATTCAAGCTTTTCTTCTGCTTGTCTCGGCATCGGCAAAAACGTAGAAAATGCTCAAGTATGGCAAGTAATACCTTTTGAATAATATCAAAACCTCTCAACGTTACAAAAAAAAACAGAAAAAGTAGGAAGTAGCAAACGCAGAACAGCTTGTTTTCGCGCTGCAGAGTATGTTTGGCCGCGCGCTCGCCCCAGTAATTTTGCACCCTTTGAAATATGGCGTCGATTACCTTGGATCGGTCTATTCTATTTGAGCCTGAGTGGGCCAAAAGCTCTGATAATATTCTGATTTGTAATGTTTAAATGTATTTTGGTGACATGAAAGAGGTCACCTTGTTTCCGGTTTCATTTCGGAATTATTTAATTCAATTATTTGAGCAATGCGCTCAAGTAAGAAGTGATTATAAATTTTACACAATTAATCTTTTGACGCGCTGTAAAGGCGGTTTGGGGAAGGAACAAGTTCGTATTATTGTTAACTTACCCTGAGGCGCCATTACTTACGACTTCCCGTTTCGTCCTACAGCATTCGAGATATTTTTATATTCTATGGAATTCAAATATAGTCTGCACCAAAACATGGAAAGAAAAAGTAGAGAAAATAAGGAGTTTGTTCAACGGCTAAAAATATATTCTGGCGAGATTTTTCAGTGAAACAATTGGACTGCTTACGTCACGCGATCTAACCTTCCGGTCTCTCCCTTCAACTTAAGTCAAGTGGAAACTAACTCTTCCTTAAATTCGTAGAATTAGGTACTTCTTAAAAAATCGCTTTACTCGCCTGAAATCAAAACGGTTCTTAACGCTTCATAGAAGGAAACACCTTTAATGATCTAGAATCAAGCGTGCGTGACAAGCCTCACAGTTTTTTTATCGTCTGGGCAAAAGGAGCGTGACGCTACGAGCGGTGGTGGAAGTGTTGGGAGGGTAAAGATTGGCCCAATGCCGAGCCCAGAAATTTTACCAAACAAACCGAAATACGTAATTAACCCGAGGTAAAGTACTATTACATCGAACAAGTTAGGTTGGAGACCTAAACTGTGCGCTGAGCTGGCTGAGTTTTCGAGCAGCTGCTCATAATTAGCGCTTTGGCACGAGTGTCTCTTGAAGTCTTGAGCTACGCGAGTCGATGAGAGGTGTGCCAAGGCTCTAGCACTACTAGAGCCAGGCTTCCAGTAAACCTCTTTCTGCCTCCTCTCAAGTCTTCCTTCAGGTGAGAAAACGCGCCTCTTCCAGCGCTAATCACGACTTTGGCTTGGTTAGCTTGATTCTCAGACGGTCTAGAAACGTTCACCTTTTCTGCTCGGTGAGCACCATTGTTTGACATGGTATTCTTTAAAAGGCATACCGTGTAACGGTTTAATACATCATCACTAACGTTAATGCTTGGTTACTTCTTACAGCTACAGCTTCATCAATTCTGATAAAAGCATGTACCACTGGAACTTTGACTTTACAATGCCACGGTTTTACTAACGTGAGGACAATCACTTATATTGAATGGAGGATACGATTTGGTGACAAACTGACAAACCGTTATCATTGCTTGATGTCCGACGATGGGTGCACAGTACAAGGGTCCGCTCCCGAAGGACTCAAGGTGCTATCCGTTTCTAAAAGAAACATTACCATAGAGCGCTCCGAAGAAAACGGTCCGATAAATCATGTCAAGATATCATGTGAAGTGAATCGTGACTCCTCTACAGCTAGTGATAGCTATGAGATCAAGTTTACTGTTAAGTGTAAGTATCGAAACAATTAGTTATATTACAACTGTGGCTTAGTCGCCAGGCCACCCTAAAGCAGGAGTGAGGCTGGGGTTAAATTTGTCATGATAGAGACGAGAGACAACTTAAACTCGGTTCAAATGGTCATGATAGTTGGTGATAGTCGATGAGAATTTCAACTCTCATTCGCTATCATTGACTATTCTATTTGTGTTCAAACGGTTCAAGATAATTGATAATAGTTGACAAAATTACGCGATGTAAACAAATATTGCGCGCGCTGAGGTCAGAAATTTCAGTGGCATTTGAAATTTTAGTCAAGAAGTTGCAAGTTGAAGATAACGAAGCCTACGAGGAGATGATGAAAATGAACAACGAGAAATTCTGCGAAACTTTGATGGCTACGATTTTAGTCAGTTTACCATGTATTATTTAGGTTTGAGTCCGTTTTTGGCAAAACTGTTGACTGAAAAACTATCATTCACTATCATCTGCTCGTTCAAACGACCAAAACTATTATCAGCTATCATGTAGAACTTGAACTGGCCTGTCTAAACTGCGATAGTTAACGATAGAGTATGATAGTTCGTGTTGAAACGCGCGTGATAGTTGAAACTATCATCAACTATCCCGACCGTTTGAAGACTGGGTATTAGTATTTAAGCTCGTGTTTGGTAATGAGAGTGTGTAGGAGCGCAATGGGCTCTTGGAGTGTGTCAATCATGTCCTTCCTGAACCTTTCCTTCTTGTTCCTCTATGGTTAATTCAGACTTATCTCGTGCAATGTTTTTGTACCATGATAAGTTCTTATATACAGTTCATCTCAATCTCAGCAACGAGGAGTCTGGTTAAATTCTCAAAAGATCAACTGTATTATATGTTAAGTAATACAATGACTGAATGTAGTTTATTGACTCATTCGTTCGTTTGATCGTTTTTTCTCTCACCCGTTCGCTCGTTGTCTATTTTCTTCTTTTCTCTTACTCGTTCGTTCGTGCTTGGTTCGTTCTTTCATTATTTGGTTCGTTCGTTTGTTCCCTCACCCGTTCGCTCGTTCTTACGGTCGTGTGCTTGTTGTCTTTTCTCTTACTCGTTGGTTCGTGCTCGGTTCATTCGTTTGTTCTCTCACCCGTTTGCTCGTTCTCGCGGTCGTACTTTCGTTGTCTTTTTTCTTACTCGTTCGTTCGTGCTTGGTTGATTCGTTTGTTCTCTCACCCGTTTGCTCGTTCTCACGGTCGTACGTTCGTTGTCCCTTATCTTGCTCGTTCGTTCGTGCTCGGTTCGTTCACCGCTTTCATTCTTTGGTTTGTTCGTTTGATCGTTTGTTCTCTCACCCGTTTGCTCGTTCTTACGGTCGTGCGTTTGTTGTCTCTTCTCTTACTCGTTCTTTCGGGCTTAGTGCGTCCTTTCATTATTTGGTTCGTTCGTGTAAGTATCGAAACAATTAGTCTGTTTTCCCAACGGAAATGTATTGTTTTTGTCATTGTTTCCTCTGTTCAAGAACTGAATGCAGGGTGGGGCTTGAGTTCAAGGCGAAGGTAGCCAGCACGTTTTCTGATCTACTTGAGTAGAAGGCATATTTTACCGCTGGAAAATGGTTCTCGCATTTCGTCGCCGGAGTGGTTTTCTCACCGTCTTTATTTTTGCCGGAATTTCTGCGATTGAATCTCAACAATCTGGAGGTAGGTTTGTGTGGCAAACCTTACGTACATCTGTAGACTGTGTTTCTTTTGTGCGTTTTATGAATGCATTTTATCATCATAGAATTCAGACACAGGTCATGCCGCTTAAGATTCTCAGTGAAATGTTTGATCGATGAGTAACGCGCCAAAGCAGAATTTTGATGTTAAAAACGATGTCCCCGTTTTAAGTCGAGTGAGACTCTCCTCTGATAGTCAAATGTTTTCGAATCTTACCAAAGAAAAGTGTTACAATTTTATGCGCAAATTTTTGGCTCGCTTTTAAACCTTATCGGCTCTTTGTTGCGTCTCAAATTTTGTTATCGCACACCGGTAATGGCAGTAATAATATTTATTGAAAAAACTTAGACATATATTTCCCAGCGTGATTCTGACAGTCATCCAACAGTGGATAGGCAACTATCGAAAATGATTTCGATTACCCAATTTATTTAAAAGTTTTAAAGAAAGGCATGGTAGAAATTTAAGTTATTGTGCTCTTCATTGTCCAAAACTCTTGAACCTTTGCTACAATACCTTTTCGTGAACATTCGATCAACAATGGGTTCGTTTGCAAAGTGGTGCGTGAAATTTCAATAGCTTTGTTCAATATTGGTTTACAATACTAGATATACCTATCGATAGAGTGCCAACGAGCGATCAATTTGTGGTTTGATAAGGGGGTTTACGCTGAGGCATAGTTTTTTCCAATTGATGAAAGGGTTTTTAATAAGAGTAACATGGAAACTGTACTAAGGTTTTAAGGGCTTGGTAATATTAACCAAGTCATTTAATAACTTGAACATGTGAAAGGATGTGAATAGTTCTTGTTATTAATGTAACATTATAAAGAATAACATAACAAAGAATATGAATTGTGTTGTATTGTATAACTGTTGCTTTGAAAGAGCATAAAAAAACAACACTGAATTTTTCATTTACAATATGTTGATTGAAGCATATAGAAGGGGTTTTGGTTAGTACAATGTTTGTGAACAGAAACATACATGCAGTAGTCTTTGTGAACTTAGTAATCTTAAAAAAAGCATATTAACTTGAACGTGAAAACCAATGTGAATGGTTTTCTGCTATTAATACAACATCTTGAACATCAATAGCATGGTAAGAAATAAGATTAACTTGTTTCGTATGTATGCTTTCAAATAACAGGTAACGTAACATTGAATCAGAACATGGTAATGAAAGTTTGTTGAAGTCTTGATACTTAAGTGTTGTAAATAAATATTTTAGTCGGTGGTCTGGCTTTGTTAATTCTGTACTGTAGGACAGTTTAACTTGACAGTGAAGATGATGATATTTCAGTGATCACTTTTCTGTTGACATTATATTTGAATTCTATGTCTTGAAGATCCATAAGTAGTTCTTCAATTGTGTCCGAGTCACTAAGTAATGAGATTGTCGGGTGGGTGGCGAAGAGGGACTCCAAGACATCTGTAAATGCTGTTAACCAAATGTCTTTTTCATCCAAATGTACAAGTAGTTGAACAGATGCATCTCGTTTGCATTGCATCTTTCTTTGTCGGACTCCACAGTTTTTACATTTGAGTGTGTTCTGTTGGGAGATTTCATTAATTTTGCGTTTGCATGCTTGGCAGGTGATGAAAATGCTGAGTTTGTTGATCATTTTGAAGCTCTCTACTTTTGCTTCTTTCTCTGGATTTGCAAGTAATGCAGGGCCATTTATAGGTTTCAGTTGTTGATTGGCTTCTTTAAACGTTGTTGTAGGGGTTGTTCCCAGATGAGTGATCCCTTGGAAGTGCTTTACATTAAGGTTTTCAAACTCATATGTGGTGCCAGTTTTGATGTTCTTGAAAAGTGGATCCCATATATGAATAGTAGCAGTTCCAGTTTCATCTTCCAGGACACAGTCTTCCTTTACAGTTGTCATTTCACTTGAGGATTTCAATTGCACAGGTTTAGGGTTTTCATTTCCCAGTGAAATGGAAGCAGTGACATTTACTTTCTGATTGACTTGGAGTGTGGGGAGCTCCTCAAGTGTAATCTTCTTGGCAGGCTGAGTTGAGGGCTCAGTCTTTTGGGATTTGTTGATGGGTTTGTAATCAAAATCAATATCAAAGGTTGGTGTTACCCTTACTGTTGATTGCTGGTTGAATATGATGTCATTGCCGCTGTTTTGCTTAGTGTTTTTGAGGGTTACAGCTGTTTTTGACGCTTCATGTTCTTGTAGCATGGAGTGGTTTGCAATATTAAATCCTACAACTCGTCTCAATTTTGATGGGCTGGTTTGTAAATCAAAATCATACCACTGATTTTGATTTCGTGAGCGTTTTATAGGACTCAAATTCTGAATGTAGCCACGGTGATTATCTAAGAAAGAGGAAATAAAAACTGAAGTTAGACATGAAATGTTGATCACAATAAGTTACTGCATCTTTTAATAACATGTGGACTGTAAAATTCATAACTAACAAATGTTTTTTTGGTACTGTCAATCAAATGTTCTGCAGCTCTTTGCAGCTCGTGACTACTGTCAATTGTGCAGTAATCAAATCAAATCAAATCAAATCATTCAGCACAGTTCAGACAGCAGAAGTTGGGAGGAACCACCAAAGATTTCAGTGACGGTAGTGAAATTGCGTTTGTCAGTAAGGTTTGAATTTTAGAAATGGCAATCTAGTATGGTGAGGCCAGACGAAGATTTTGTAACAAAAATTACAAGGGGTTGTTTCCTTTCAGCAGTTCTTGCTCATTCAATCTCCCTCCCCACCTACTTTTCAAGTGAAGAAAACAGGAATATGGAGAACCACAAAAAACCAAACATTGTAAATTAAAGCTACAGGTACTTACCAGAGTTTGTATTTTCTTTTGACATGATTGACTGACAGGAGATCTGGTAACTGAAGAAAAAGAAAATTTTCAAACAGTGCAGAAACATTTTTTTTGAAATATCAAAGATTTTGTAAGAAGAAAGCACTGACAATGCATTTCCTTTTTTTTAGAGTAGAATATGAAATGTGAAATGTTTGTTGAAAATATTTGGAACCAGTCACCACAGGGAGACAAGATCAAAATTGTACAAAGTTGATTTTGAATTGCAATTTATCTTTTAATCTTAAGTGTAAAAGAAATATTTATACGTGCATTGATCGCTTTGATTTGTTTAAAAGAGTATGACATATACGAAAATTTTTTTAAAGATATTTTGAGATGTGAATTCAGTGTTTCATTAGCCAACATATCAAGACGGTTTTCTTCTTCTAATCTAAACTTAAAGTTAGTAGACTTTTTGACCGCTTGTAACCTCTCTAGTGTCATTGGCTCAATAAGAAGATCTTGTATTTTTTTTACCCTGCTTAAAGCAACATATGTAATTCCAGGAGATCTTTCTGATGATCCTAAATCTATCCAAGCTTTAGAGAGGGTCAGACCTTGACATTTAAGAATTGTCATCGCCCAGGCTAATTTTAATGGCAATTGCTGTCTCTCATATTTTTTTCCTAAACTTTCTGAAACTTGGGTGATGGGACAAATTGGGACACATCTTTGAAACAGAGAAGAAACTGATGGTCCTTTATATTCATCATCAAATTGAACCAATACACATATTGGAAGACATGGAGGTTGTTGTCCTTCAGCATACACAAAGTCAAGTACTGTGCCTAATGCTCCATTTACAAAGGCCAACATCAGTCCATAGATTCATCGTTAACATTACTTTTGCTCCTTTTGATAAGTAAACTATAGGTTCAAGGCCTCCCATGTCATCAGCACTAAGTGTTTGTGCTCCAATAGAGTGACGAGCTTTAATTATTGCTATTGGTTGACCTAAGCTTTTAAGTCTACTAATGTTTAATTCTGCGACTTTTTCCTTATGATAACAAATTCTTACAGAATTATTTTCAAACTCATTCACATTGTGCACTTTGTCTGGTGTTCTGGAAATTAAACAGTGCCAATCTGATTCAGTTGATTCACCATGGCGAGCTCGGGTTAGCATTTCCCTAAAATTGGATTGTTCAATATTGTTTCCTTGAACTCTTTGATTAACTGTCAATTTAACAACTTTCTTGAATTCATGATATAGGAGAAAACCTTGAATTTGCTTTTCTGTTTTTGGCATAGAATGGTAAAGTGGTTTGTCACCTACTGGTGGTAACTGAGCTATGTCACCGACAAGAATGACAGATATGCTGCCAAATGTCATGTCTGTTCGTCCAGTAGCTTGTCTGCAACGACTATCAATCCATCCGAACAAACTCTGGCCAACGAAAGAGTATTCATCTATTATTAAATATTGAACGTTTTCAAGGTTACTTTGTAGTTGTTGCAAAGGTATTCCTTTTAAATCACAATGTCTCTTTGAACCAATAGGTAATTTTAGCAGTGAATGTAGCGTTACTCCATTGACATTGAATGATGCTTTTCCAGTGTAAGCTAAAACCTTACATTTTTCCTGAAGCAAATTTCTTAAGGAATCAATGAGATAGCTTTTCCCTGTTCCTGCTACACCCATAGTAAGAAAGCGCAAGGGATTTTGTTCACCACTGGCAAAATGATTGGAAACTATTTGAAAAGCTACTTGCTGCATTCTACTAAAAGTTGAAGTATCTATGATTCTTGTTTCACAGGAATGGTGAGCACTATTCTTGTTTTTCTCTCTGTTTATCCATGTAGGCATTGCATTTATCTCATCATTTGTGAAATACTGATACACTTGATGCCAATATGCATGTGGTACAGGTGTAGATTTCTCACAAGTATGAGTTGTTTGAATAGTCAACTCTGCCATAAGCATCCACTCTTCTCTTTCACTTTTGGTGTTGTAATCTTCTTCAAAAGAATCCTCATTCAAAGGTGTTATGCATATGTAGTTGTTTACATCTTGCATTTTGGTTTCCCAATCAGGGACTAAGGATTTTGCAGTATCAGTTAGCAAGAATTTTTTCCAACATGTTGTGTATGTCTCATCAGCCTGTGGAAGGTTATCTCATGCATCATCTGGTGTATATTGCCAGGGTTTGTATTTAAGCAACTGATATTTTCAAAACAAACCATAGTCTTCACTCTTTGGATTGGATGAATAATTAGGATAGGTTTTGACAATTACACTTTTGTCTCTTTGTTTAAGATTAGAGGCTTTGAAAGTAAACATTGATGCAAACTTGAAAAAATTGTACTCTAATAACTGCGGGTCTACCTTGAGATACTTGTAACGTTCAGCATAGGTATCAAGCAATGAAGGAGCAGTACAAATTTGGTTATTTGCTTTAAGGTGTACTCTTCTCGATCCATCAAGAGATGCAGTGATAACCTCATGTGTTGCACTTACAAATTTTATTGACAGTAAATGATGCATTACCTCTTGAATAGAATAGTCTCTTTGACCAACAGTTTTCAGCAAAATTTGCTTAAGGGCACTTGGAGTATCAGTTGTATCATTCATCTTTGTGATAATATTGGTGAATGCATTTTTGACAACAGAAGATGCTTTCTCAGCTTTGGATGTGTATTTAACAAGATATTCCAGACAGGCATGATAATATATAACAATTTGAATGTCGCAATTTGCTCTCCACCCTTGAAGTTGTAATGGTTGATGATGATTCAATCTAGAGTCATTTCGTTTTGTGACAATAACAGCTTTATATTTTGTTTCGCCAGTTTTTGTATTTATTGGTTCAAAATCAAGTCTAGTGTCAGGACAGTCGTCATAAGGAAAGTTAAATCTACAATGCAATTCGGATTTGTCATTTTGTCGAAGACAATATTTAGTACTACATGTAGTGTGTCTCTCGACTGAATTTAACAAACGTACGTAATCATTTGCCATTTCATTGGTTTTTAATGAAAGATATGATTTTTGACATGGGTGAATTTCTGGTTTTGACCATCCATCATCAGGAGGGGAAGGATTCCAGGTTGACATCAAAAAGTCAACATATCTACAAAGAATTGTCTCAGCCTCTTTGCCTTCTTGTATTTCGTTGTCAATATTCACAATTTGCTCTTTAGTTAGTTCATGTTGGTTTTCACTTTTAAATTTTGAAGCTAAGTATCCCTTGAGGGCCTTCTCAGTGAGGGTACATAATCCTGGATCATTTTTTAATTTAGCAACTCCATGACAATGGATTGGTCCTCTTTGGACTGCATATTCATATCTATACCAATGCCAGGAAGAGTGCAGTGATTCTTTCAACCAAAACTTGACAAACCGATCAGTTCTTTCTGAAAAGACCCAATCTAACAGATGTGGATTGTTTAAAACATTTTTGTGTCTATCACCTGGAGTCAGTTTTTCAGTGAAACTGTTGCTTAAAAGCTTGTGAAATTCTGGCCAGTGATATTCTGCACATGATAAAGTAAAAAATATTGTTGGAGGTCCCTTTTGGCTTATTGTAGCTTTCAAATCTTCTTTTGACTTTTGCCAATAACCAGTGCTACCAGTTATGTTTTTGGCATAATGCATCAGCTTAGACATAAGTGAAGAATAGCTATTGGTAGTAAGCATTTTTTTTAGTTGTTCAACAGTTAGGTGGGCTTCATTTGGATTTTGTTTAAGAAATATACTACCCTGACCAAGAAGTCTGTGTCTTTGGATCATATTGAATGCCCAGTAAGCAAATCGTGGATGTCTTGCAAATCTGTACACCCATTCACCATTGATGTTTTCAGCAAACTTCATCAAATGCTTTACTTTTTCACCCAAGGTTGCATGTCGCTTTGTAGCAGTATTAGTTGGATCGCCTGTACCATCAGGGAAAAGAGTGGGAAAAGCCATTGTTGCTAGTAGTTGAATTTTGAACTCATTTAAAGGTTTGCTTCCCCTATTAGGCCATGCAGTTTTATGGTGTTGTAATAGTTCGTCTTTTATTAGCTGCTTTTGTGGCTTCAAAACAACAGGATTTAATACAGTGCTGCTTAACTCTGTTTCATGATTGAATGGTATTTCATCACTATCAAGTGGACCTCTATCTGGATCTATTTCATCGTCACTAATTTTAGTACAATGAACCTTTTGCAAGTCACTAGGAATTCCTTCAGTTGGAAGGGAAGACAAACAAGTATAATCAATTTTAATGTTTTTGTACACAGGATTGTGATCAACTTACCACTGCAGAGCTATAGAAACTTTTTGTCTTTGAACAATTAAATCTTTAGAAGTGTTATTCTTGCCTTCCGCTATTATTACTATTATAGGGAGTTCTTTGGGATATTTTGGTAGTGTGTCTGCAAGATCCTGGATATCTTGAGGGAAATTAATGCAATGACCTTTATAGGCTCTTTGTCCACCTGGCTTTGTGTAAACACTGATAACTGGAAAAGCACGAGCAATTAACATCTCTTCTATTTGGGTTACTCTTGAACCTTTGCTACAATACCTTTTCGTGAACATTCGATCAACAATGGGTTCGTTTGCAAAGTGGTGCGTGAAATTTCAATAGCTTTGTTCAATATTGGTTTACAATACAAACGGGTTGTTGTTGAATTTTTACACCATGATGTAATTGAGTAACCGGAAAGTTCGAACACAGGTTAATTTTGAGGTACTGTCAGAATCCAAGGCTTCTTGGTACAAGTTGCATCTGAAAGAGCACGTGGAGCAACTTCAGAATACCCCGCAACTCATTTACATGTCATTGAATAAGAATAGCGTCTATTGTGTTATGCCTCGATCTTCAAAGCCTCCCGACACATGTAAGTGAGGCGGAAATGAGTTGCGGGGTATTCTGAAGTTTAGCCGAGCACGTACACATTATATGAATTGCGGTGATTTCGCCAGCGAGTGATTTCGACAACGTCACGTTCGCCAACGTCTTTGTTCGCTTCGCCAACGCGATGAGTCGCTTGGCCAACCTCCTACTGGTCAATTCGCCAACGCCAAATATCTAGTAATAACTTAGTAATAGCTTAGTAAAAAGGGTGCTTACTGATGCTTTGGATGTAATGCTGATACTTGGGTCAGAACAATTTTAAGTTAATGCTAGTTTCACTTGGCTGACTTCCAAACAATTTGCATATTCGGTTAAATCGCGGTAAGTTAAAACTGTTGAATAACAAACTCCGATGGCTTCCAAATGTGTTCCAAAAATGTATAACTCAAAATTTTACTTGAAAAATGCGTTACGATGTGAATTAACGAGTTAACATTTTTCAGAAACAATCAGAGTTTGTTTTCCAGCCTTCAAAACGAGTCAGAAATAAAATATAACAAGTATAATATCAACAACATTTAAATTACAATACGTACTTTTATAAATATTTACAAGTGCAAAATATTTTAGTGGAAAACCTATTTACAAAACCTTCTGATTCACAAAATATATTCAATGCAAAACTTATTTACAAAACCTTCTGATTCAAAAAAATGTTTTAGTCAAAACCTATTTACAAAACCTTCTGATTCACAAAATATTTTCAATGCAAAACTTATTTACAAAACCTTCTGATTCAAAAAAATGCTTTAGTCAAAACCTATTTACAAAACCTTCTGATTCTCAGCTTACTTCACGCTAGTTCAGTTCGTTCATGATCAGTTAGAGCGCGCTGGTCCATTCAAACGCGAGCACGTCCTGAGTAGTTGAGCAGCGGTTTTCTCGTTGTTCTCATACTTCTCCCAACTTGCGAATAGTTTTGCCTGAATGTTTCTTGTTGTACGTCGTTGAATTCGTTTCAGTTTGTTGTCAGAGACCAGCCTAATTGTAATAGCTGTGAGTTTTGCCTCCCGATCAAGTAACTCAATTAAAAGGTATAAGGGCAAACCGCATTGTCCTCCAGCTCTGCGATTGAGGGCGTTATGCCAGCCTTCCAGGTCGTTATTTGTGCGGACGGGCTCCTTGTACACGCACCGGTTTCTTGGGGTGAATACTTCACTCTCAATCCACTGTCGTCGGATTTACTGGACAAGTCTCCCCAGCTGGTCGGTTTGGGCCTGCTCCTCGAATAGGTCGAACATCGGTTGGATTTCCGGATACGGGAGGAACGGGAGGGCCATTAGCTTCCTGATGTACTTGTAAACGGAATCGTCGTCCATGTACGCCCTTTGGAGGCCAAGCTCTTGTACCTTAAAGTAAAAAATGGTAAAAAAGGTGTAAATAAAGTACAGTAAAAACCCGCGACCCGCATTTTAGACGATAATGGATTTTAAGTAAGTTCATTTTAAGTAAGTTCACTGTCAGATGATATAAGAAACTAAATAACATTGGTCACGGTTCAGTTTTGGTCAGCGTAATGAGTTTTTTTTTACTTTTAGATGTCTTCTGTTAGGTGTAAGATAAGCAACAACAGTTGTATAAAAGAGAAATTAGATCCTCCATCAACTTATAATCCTGGCCCAGGTCTCTACTTTTTAGAGTATCAGAGTATATATAAGTAAATATAACTTACCGGTGTTACACATTCGATGGTTCCAGCGAAAACATCCATCGCACTGAACCGCTTGCTGCCGAGGCCATACCAGTTCGTGACAAACAATACAGTTTAAAATCTGCGCAGTAGCCATCCTGATATTAATAGTATTCCGAGATAAAGATATCCGAGATAATTCGTTATGAGTCGTAGAGTGTCGTAATCGTATGATTGAAATGAACATTCTTCGCATGCCAGTGTGTTTTATACACTTCGAAGGATCGAAATATCATACCAGTTAGTTTCAAGCAATTGGATTGGTTTATTTAGAACAATAGGGTAAAATTAACAAGTTTTAACACAATGAGTTTACGCGTCTATTCATATGCGCTGGAGTTATAGAATTAGTAGTAGTAGTAGTCTACAATGTATTTATATAAATCTCTGTTCTAGAAGTCTCAAAGGTAATTATATAAATCTCTGTTATCGACAAATAAACCTTATAGAAGAACTTAAGGAAAAGGTTGCACACACGCGACTTTATTGCTCTAAGTTAAGTTCAGCAACATACAGCGCCGGTGACGCGTGGCGTGGCGTGCATTTATGTGGGCCCACTGTGTTTTAAGTTGCGCGTACAAGAGAAGGAAACTAAGTCCGAACAAAATAACGGAAGGAAACTAAGTTCGAACGGGGAAATCAAGTCAGCTCAGTCAAGTAAATAACACACAGAAGCAAGAAGAAGTAATGGTAAATTTTTATTTAGAGTAAACTAATACATTGGCAAAGTGACCAGTAGGACGTTGGCCAAGCGACTCATCGCGTTGGCCAAGCGACCAAAGACATTGGCGAACGTGACGTTGGCGAAATCACTCGTTGGCGAAATCACCAGATACCCATTATATTTTCACAACATGACCTCTAATTGATTGGCCCACTGCCGAGCCCAGAAATTTTACCAAACAAACCGAAATACGTAATTAACCCGAGGTAAAGTACTATTACATCGAACAAGTTAGGTTGGAGACCTAAACTGTGCGCTGAGCTGGCTGAGTTTTCGAGCAGCTGCTCATAATTAGCGCTTTGGCACGAGTGTCTCTTAAAGTCTTGAGCTACGCGAGTCGATGAGAGGTGTGCCAAGGCTCTAGCACTACTAGAGCCAGGCTTCCAGTAAACCTCTTTCTGCCTCCTCTCAAGTCTTCCTTCAGGTGAGAAAACGCGCCTCTTCCAGCGCTAATCACGACTTTGGCTTGGTTAGCTTGATTCTCAGACGATCTAGAAACGTTCACCTTTTCTGCTCGGTGAGCACCATTGTTTGACATGGTATTCTTTAAAAGGCATACCGTGTAACGGTTTAATACATCATAACTAACGTTCATTCTTGGTTACTTCTTACAGCTACAGCTTCATCAATTCTGATAAATGCATGTACCACTGGAACTTTGACTTTACAATGCCACCGTTTTACTAACGTAAGGACAATCACTTATATTGAATGGAGGATACGATTTGGTGACAAACTGACAAACCGTTATCATTGCTTGATGTCCGACGATGGGTGCACAGTACAAGGGTCCGCTCCCGAAGGACTCAAGGTGCTATCCGTTTCTAAAAGAAACATTACCATAGAGCGCTCCGAAGAAAACGGTCCGATAAATCATGTCAAGATATCATGTGAAGTGAATCGTGACTCCTCTACAGCTAGTGATAGCTATGAGATCAAGTTTACTGTTAAGTGTAAGTATCGAAACAATTAGTTATAATACAACTGTGGCTTAGTTGCCAGGCCACCCTAAAGCAGGAGTGAGGCTGGGGTTAAACTTGTCATGATAGAGACGAGAGACAACTTAAACTCGGTTCAAATGGTCATGATAGTTGGTGATAGTCGATGAGAATTTCAACTCTCATTCGCTATCATTGACTATTCTATTTGTGTTCAAACGGTTCAAGATAGTTGATAATAGTTGACAAAATTACGCGATGTAAACAAATATTGCGCGCGCTGAGGTCAGAAATTTCAGTGGCATTTGAAATTTTAGTCAAGAAGTTGCAAGTTGAAGATAATGAAGCCTACGAGGAGATGATGAAAATGAACAACGAGAAATTCTGCGAAACTTTGATGGCTACGATTTTAGTCAGTTTACCATTTATTATTTAGGTTTGAGTCCGTGTTTGGCAAAACTGTTGACTGAAAAACTATCATTCACTATCATCTGCTCGTTCAAACGACCAAAACTATTGTCAGCTATCATGTAGAACTTGAACCGGCCTGTCTAAACTGCGATAGTTGACGATAGAGTATGATAGTTCGTGTTGAAACGCGCGAGATAGTTGAAACTATCATCAACTATCCCGACCGTTTGAAGACTGGGTATTAGTATTTAAGCTCGTGTTTAGTAATGAGAGTGTGTAGGAGCGCAATGGGCTCCTGGAGTGTGTCAATCATGTCCTTCCTGAACCTTTCCTTCTTGTTCCTCTATGGTTAATTCAGACTTATCTCGTGCAATGTTTTTGTACCATGATAAGTTCTTATATACAGTTCATCTCAATCTCAGCAACGAGGAGTCTGGTTAAATTCTCAAAAGATCAACTGTATTATATGTTAAGTAATACAATGACTGAATGTAGTTTATTGACTCATTCGTTCGTTTGATCGTTTTTTCTCTCACCCGTTCGCTCGTTGTCTATTTTCTTCTTTTCTCTTACTCGTTCGTTCGTGCTTGGTTCGTTCTTTCATTATTTGGTTCGTTCGTTTGTTCCCTCACCCGTTCGCTCGTTCTTACGGTCGTGTGCTCGTTTTCTTTTCTCTTACTCGTTGGTTCGTGCTCGGTTCATTCGTTTGTTCTCTCACCCGTTTGCTCGTTCTCGCGGTCGTACTTTCGTTGTCTTTTTTCTTACTCGTTCGTTCGTGCTTGGTTGATTCGTTTGTTCTCTCACCCGTTTGCTCGTTCTCACGGTCGTACGTTCGTTGTCCCTTATCTTGCTCGTTCGTTCGTGCTCGGTTCGTTCACCGCTTTCATTCTTTGGTTTGTTCGTTTGATCGTTTGTTCTCTCACCCGTTTGCTCGTTCTTACGGTCGTGCGTTTGTTGTCTCTTCTCTTACTCGTTCTTTCGGGCTTAGTGCGTCCTTTCATTATTTGGTTCGTTCGTTTGACCGTTTGTTCTCTCACCCGTTTGCTCGTTCTTACGGTCGTGCGTTAGTTGTCTCTTCTTTTGTTCGTCCTTTCGTGCTTGGTTCATTCTCTCATTCTTTGGTTCGTTTATTTGTTTCGTTCTTTCTTTTTTTCATTTGTTTGTTAATTTGATTTTTCGTTGGTTATTTTATTTGTAATTTCATTCTTTCGTCCATTCCTTCTTTCTTTCTTTCCTTTTGAGCTGTCGTATAAAGAATTCGTGAAAATATCTGTGAATGGATGGAGTGGGATTCCGAGTGAAGAGACTAATTGTGAACTGCACACCTCCGAGAAGGGGTTGTAGCAGTTTTCCATCATATATAGATTGGTTTCCCTTACTTTGCTTTGTGATTGGTCCGGAAACCTTACACATTTTCTCCCAAATTACATGCGAAACTAAAGTGTCCAATTACAATTTGGTCCACCGTGTTCCTGCGATTAAGGCCGATTGCGATCACATGTATTTTCTTTGAGCTCCTATTGGCTACCTGCAATATTTTCATACATTTGTTTTGACTAACCGTTATAATTACTTTGGCTTTTGCTATAATGACTACGATCTAACATTTCCTGTCTACTCTTTAGGTGTGAGGGCCGTGGAAGGGAGAGATCTTAACTTCACAAGAATCCTACAGGAGATGGTTTCATGTGAACGCGTGAGCACAGTGAATTGGATTCTCAATGAAAGTAAATTTGCCTGCTGTGACTCATGTCAATGTCCCACAAATCATTGTGAGAGAGGATCCGATGGCCATAGCGACGAAGTCAGTTTAGATTTTAGGAGAAGATTAAGATTTACGGGAGGTGTAATAATACTGACCTACATTCAAGGTAATGATGACAGAAGGGAGATTAACGTCACATATGACATTGAAGAAGACTCTGGTGCAAAGAGATCAGTCGGGCCGAGGACGATACGTATTTTGGTCGAGAACGCTCGGCATTTTTCGTTATGTGTAGTCACGAATACTGCTACCCTGGTAATGTCCACTTCTCCTAAGTCTTTATCTCGAAGCTGTGTATCCAATGATGTAGAACACACCCCGACGAGCGGTGCATTAGCCACAAACACACCTGTGCTGCCGATATTGACGGTGATTACAGTAATCATCTCTGCATTAATTCGAGATGACAAAAAAGTCCACCACGAGGGATGTCAGAATGAAGTGAACGAGTAGAGAGGCTTTTATCGACGTACTTCTCAGTTCCTCGATCTTTTTCCTCTCAATTTTTAGGTAGTCGTGCAAGATGAACTTGTATTTTGGCACGGTTCAAAATAACTTGTTTAGAGCGGAAAGTTGCCGACGGTAGTAGTTGCGCATGGTAGGAACCAGTTTTCTGCTTCAGTGCAATTTCAATCCATCGCTCCTACCCTGTAAACTACCTTCTTTTTATAAACAATGTCTTGAAGTTTTGTCTGACTTTAATGGCAATCACGATATAATAGCTACAAAACAGGACGTTTTAAATGTGACTATCTGGAACAACCAGAACCTCTTGATTAACAAGAAATCAATATACAACAAGAGAATAAAAGAAGCAGGTTTTGTGAAACTTGGAGATATTCTCTCAAATGACTCAAAATTAAAAAGGTGGGACGCTTTTAGAGAGAAAAATCTCTCCTTGTCAGATTACTTACTCCTACAAGGCATTTTTTCCGCCATTCCGCCTAACTGGAAACAGCTCCTTAACGTTGGAGAGAATAATAACAACCGAATTGACAAAACTGTTTCAGACGATGTTCATGATATAACTAGAATGACTTCAAAATCAATCTATTCCACCCTGGTCAAACGAATCCAGATTTCTCCGACTGCCCAATCTAAGTTTAATTCCGTATACAATATTTCAGGTAATATAGACTGGAAAAATATTTATCTATTGCCGGGTCGAGTCACTCTTGACACTAGAACGAGAGCCTTTCAATACAAAATCTTAAATCGTATTCTCTACACCAATAAAATCCTATATAAAATGAATTTGGTTCCTTCTCCGATGTGTACCTTTTGTGGGGATCACGAAGAAACTCTTGAGCATCTTCTAATCAGCTGTACTTACACTAAAAACTTTTGGCTTTCGGTTATTTCTTGGTTAAATACTTACAATATGAAAATTGATAAGCTTGATGAGGTAACAATCCTCTTTGGTATTTCCGATAATATCCCTGGGAATTGTTTGTTAAATCACATAATCATTCTTGGAAAATATACCATTTATTCATGTCGTTGTAAAAATATCAAGCCGTCTGTATCCTTACTGAAGGCTAAAACATCTGAAACTCGGAAATTTGAATTTTTGATTGCAAAAAAGAATAAAAAAGAATCTATTCATTATAAAAAATGGGAAAACATGTTATTGTAACTCAATAGATGAGTATCGGGTATTAACAGTTATAGACGCAGTTGTATATACTGTCGTTCTACCAAAAAAGGAATTTGATGTAGAAGTATTTGTACAAATTAGGTTTATATTATTATATAACCACAACATAAATTAAATCTAGCCGACTGTGAATGTAATGTAACGCAGTATTTCGTAATTAGTGTTAGTGAGTAGCGTAAGCGTTAGTGTAATTAACTTTGTATTCATTGACCAGCTCCCAGTTGGCTTGTTAGCTCAATTGGTAGAGCGCTGCACCGGTATCGCAGAGGTCATGGGTTCAAATCCCGTACGGGCCTGAAATTTTTTTCAGGTCCTACTTACAACTACTAGTTTCAGTAGTGTTCTTAGCTGCGAGGATCTTCTAATTTCATCTTTCCACCGCAGTGCAAATATATGAATTTTCATATATCTAAAATCTTCATTCACTCGGATGTTTATTTGTACCCAATTCATTGACCAGCTCCCAGTTGGCTTGTTAGCTCAATTGGTAGAGCGCTGCACCGGTATCGCAGAGGTCATGGGTTCAAATCCCGTACGGGCCTGAAATTTTTTTGATTTACATATTGTGCGTGTGAACGATACATCGTCTTTCGTTATTTTTGCATTTAGCGCACTACATACAATAGTACAGCATACCACGAATTCTGCTGCGATTTTAATGATTTCCATCATAGTAAGGAATGGTAAAGAATAGACTTCTAAAGTTTTATTAGGAGCACCAAGATGGACTTGGCAGATGTTTATTCAGAAGGATAAGACAAAATTAATTAAATTTTTGAAAATCGCCACACGTGTGTTCGGTTACACACGTGTGTTCGGTTATCCTCAGTTCGTTTGATGTTTAGATCGTGGCTTTTTTGGGAGAGTTTGGAGACCTTTTCTTGGAGATTTCTTTTAACCTCGGAGATCAGTTTAAATGGAAGTCATAACCGTGTAACTTTCAACTTTCTTTTCCCTTTGCGGATTTACTTGTTATTCATTTCATTTACTTATATAATGCAATTTTTAGTTTTCGCCGCATTGCTGTAAATGGCAGAACTAGCCTAATTAATAATGCTAATAGGACCGAGTGGAGTCCAGTTCGGTTTGTAATCATACGAGTGATGAACAAAATCGGACGACCGCGAAGCAGGAGTCGGATTTGTTAATCACGAGTATGATTACAGACAGAATTAGACGACAAGAAATCCTGTTACCAATTAATCATAACCACTTCAATTTCCGAAAAAAAAAAAAATACACCTAGAAGAAATATCTCTTTAGTGGAGACAGTCTTTAGTTAAATATTCCTCCATTTTGGAAATTGCCTTGCTTTTCTTTGGATAAGTGGTTGTTGCTATTGCTATGGTTACTGTGATCAATTTTGTGATTGGTGGATTTAGCCGAGTGGACCTAGTATGATTGGCTGCTTTAACTGTCCGATTACAGGTGTCCGATTACAGCCAACTGTCCTATTACACTGTCCGATTACAATTGTACAGAATGAATAGTGAAAAATGAAGCAGCTGATGCATCAATCACGTTTGAGGAAATTGTAATAGTAATGATCAATAAAGAAATTGGTAGTCCTCGCGTAGCCATTTATATTAGATGTGGTTGAACTGGCCAATTCAGTGCCTTGCGCTACGCTTCACGACACTAGCAGCGCGACGCAAAATGTGTGACAAATGAAGAAATAAATGAATTTAAGGCGTACATTCTCTTCCTATTGGGTTTATACATGACAGCACAGAATCTTGGTGAAAACAGATTTTTATAGTAAAGGCATGACAAATTTCAGGTCTTACGGTTTGCGCAGGTCACAAGATTCTAAAGTGGGTCTCTTCAGACCCGACTGACGATTAACCCTTCAACGTATCAGAGTGATAAGCATCTAATTTCTCTCAACATTATTTCCCCTGAATCAAAACTTTAAGGTCATCGAGAATAAAGGAAATGATCACGAGGTCGAGGGCTCTTGATTATTAAGCAAATTCACCTTGTAAGTGCCATCGGACACGCATAGAAAACAGTTTGAAGAACTTTCAAACTGACCATTTTAGGGTGTAACAGGATTAACCGAGCTGGCTCGGTTTACAAGATCTCGCCACATTACTGACATTTTCTTGTCTAAAAATCCCTTTGCGTTCACATTTGAAGCCGCGCTTGAACAGTAATCGAGATCTCAATTAAATCTCTAAAAGAAATATTTTTTGTTATTCTGGCATAGTGATGCATGAATACATTTCAGTGTCATCAAGTAGAGTTTTTTTCCTAAGGATGTACATTTGTAGATCATTCGCTCTCTATTAATGCAAATAAATAAAAATTAATTATTTGGCGCCCCTAGACTTCTTCTTAATCAACTGTCGCGCCATGAAACTCTCGAGCTCATAATTTAATTGCCAAATAGATGTACTGTTTTCCAGAAACTCCTCTTAATTAAGAATGAGTATAATCCTTCAAGAGTTTCTACATAAAGATACTTCCATCCTAAGTCTTCAAGTTAGCTAGATTATTTCTCATTTAGCTGAATGATTCGCGCCCGATAAATAGCATTTTAAATAGCTGTATATTTTTTAACTTCTTGCGCTTAAGATGGTGCATAATCTTTCAAGAGGTTTCATATTTAGATAATTCTTTCTGAAAATACTAGTAAAAGTTGTAATGGTTGAAGTTCAAAAATACTAAAAAAATATTTCGAAAGCAGTCGAATAACGAAAGCCCCTACTTCAGAATCGAGAAAGCTTAGACCTGCAAAAGCTCTCATCCTTCCACATTAGTACATCTCATTCCTCTTTTTAACAACCTATGGGAAGTTTGGGGGAATTAATCGATTTTTAAATATACACTGTCAACTGCCACATCAATCAGGACGGTACAGAGACCTTTGCCCTCGAATGTAAATACTCGACAGCCGATATGTGCACCTTTATCGGTCGACTGTCGGCCGATATATCGGTCCACTGTCGGCCGATCTATCGGTCGACTATCGGCCGATAGTCGGTCGACTGTCGACCGATAGTCGACCTATAGTCGGTCGATTGTCGACCGATAGTCGACCGATATATCGGCCGACAGTCGACCGATAAATGTGTACATATCGGGTGATGCATTGGTCGACTATCGGTCGATATATCGGTCGACTATCGGTCGACTATCGGTCGACTATCGGTCGACTATCGGTCGACTATCGGTCGATTGTCGGCCATATGTCGACCGAGGCCACCTATAGTACACATGATCTGACTTCCTTAGGGGAGTCTTACTGTGCAACCGCATCCTCAAGGGTAACACGAAACCTGCTTAATACTTATCATCGCCAAGAAACAGACTTGCAATGATTTTGTTTCAGTGGATCTTGAAGATTGTTGTAGTGGCTTTCTGGCCCTCGACGGGTAAGTTTTGGCTAAACTGCAGAATACCCTGCCACCTATTTACATGTCACTGAATAAGAATGGCGTCTATCAAAAGCACAGGTTCCTATGTTTTGTGTTATGCCTCGTTCTTAAAAGCCTCACGGCACATGTAAATGGGGTGAACCAAAGTGGCAGGGTATTCTGCCGTTTGTCCTAAGTTTTACTAACTTCTGCTGGCATGTAACATAAAAAATCAATTCTATTTGAGCCTGAGTGGGCCAAAAGCTCTGATAATATTCTGATTTGTAATGTTTAAATGTATTTTGGTGACATTAAAGAGGTCACCTTGTTTCCGGTTTCATTTCGGAATTATTTAATTCAATTATTTGAGCAATGCGCTCAAGCAAGAAGTGATTATAAGTTTTACAAACACAATTAATCTTTTGACGCGCTGTAAAGGCGGTTTGGGGAAGGAACAAGTTCGTATTATTGTTAACTTAACCTGAGGCGCCATTACTTACAACTTCCCGTTTCGTCCTACAGCATTCGAGATATTTTTATATTCTATGGAATTCAAATATAGTCTGCACCAAAACATGGAAAGAAAAAGTAGAGAAAATAAGGAGTATGTTCAACGGCTAAAAATATATTCTGGCGAGATTTTTCAGTGAAACAATTGGACTGCTTACGTCACGCGATCCAACCTTCCGGTCTTTCCCTTCAACTTAAGTCAAGTGGACACTAACTCTTCCTTAAATTCGTAGAATTAGTTACTTCTCAGAAAATCGCTTTACTCGCCTGAAATCAAAACGGTTCTTAACGCTTCATAGAAGGAAACACCTCTAACGATCTAGATTCAAGCGTGCGTGACAGGCCTCACAGTTTTTTATCGTCTGGGCAGAAGGAGCGTGACGCTACGAGCGGTGGTGGAAGTGTTGGGAGGGTAAAGATTGGCCCAATGCCGAGCCCAGAAATTTTACCAAACAAACCGAAATACGTAATTAACCTGAGGTAAAGTACTATTACATCGAGTTAATCAAGTTAGGTTGAAGACCTAAACTGTGCGCTGAGCTGGCTGAGTTTTCGAGCAGCTGCTCATAATTAGCGCTTTGGCACGAGTGTCTCTTGAAGCCTTGAGCTACGCGAGTCGATGAGAGGTGTGCCAAGGCTCTAGCACTACTAGTGCCAGGCTTCCAGTAAACCTCTTTCTGCCTCCTCTCAAGTCTTCCTTCAGGTGAGAAAACGCGCCTCTTCCAGCGCTAATCACGACTTTGACTTGGTTAGCTTGATTCTCAGACGGTCTAGAAACGTTCACCTTTTCTGCTCGGTGAGCACCATTGTTTGACATGGTATTCTTTAAAAGGCATACCGTGTAACGGTTTAATACATCATCACTAACGTTAATGCTTGGTTACTTCTTACAGCTACAGCTTCATCAATTCTGATAAAAGCATGTACCACTGGAAATTTGACTTTACAATGCCACGGTTTTACTAACGTGAGGACAATCGATTATATTGAATGGAGGATACGAGTTGGTGACAAACTGACAAACCGTTATCATTGCTTGATGTCCGACGATGGGTGCACAGTACAAGGGTCCGCTCCCGAAGGACTCAAGGTGCTATCCGTTTCTAAAAAAAACATTACCATAGAGCGCTCCGAAGAAAACGGTCCGATAAATCATGTCAAGATATCATGTGAAGTGAATCGTGACTCCTCTACAGCTAGTGATAGCTATGAGATCAAGTTTACTGTTAAGTGTAAGTATCGAAACAATTAGTTATATTACAACTGTGGCTTAGTTGCCAGGCCACCCTAAAGCAGGAGTGAGGCTGGGGTTAAACTTGTCATGATAGAGACGAGAGACAACTTAAACTCGGTTCAAATGGTCATGATAGTTGGTGATAGTCGATGAGAATTTCAACTCTCATTCGCTATCATTGACTATTCTATTTGTGTTCAAACGGTTCAAGATAGTTGATAATAGTTGACAAAATTACGCGATGTAAACAAATATTGCGCGCGCTGAGGTCAGAAATTTCAGTGGCATTTGAAATTTTAGTCAAGAAGTTGCAAGTTGAAGATAACGAAGCCTACGAGGAGATGATGAAAATGAACAACGAGAAATTCTGCGAAACTTTGATGGCTACGATTTTAGTCAGTTTATCATTTATTATTAAGGTTTGAGTCCGTTTTTGGCAAAACTGTTGACTGAAAAACTATCATTCACTATCATCTGCTCGTTCAAACGACCAAAACTATTATCAACTATCATGTAGAACTTGAACCGGCCTGTCTAAACTGCGATAGTTGACGATAGAGTATGATAGTTCGTGTTGAAACGCGCGTGATAGTTGAAACTATCATCAACTATCCCGACCGTTTGAAGACTGGGTATTAGTATTTAAGCTCGTGTTTAGTAATGAGAGTGTGCAGGAGCGCAATGGGCTCCTGGAGTGTGTCAATCATGTCCTTCCTGAACCTTTCCTTCTTGTTCCTCCATGGTTAATTCAGACTTACCTCGTGCAATGTTATTGTACCATGATAAGTTCTTATTTACAGTTCATCTCAATCTCAGCAACGAGGAGTCTGGTTAAATTCTCAAAACTTCAACTGCATTATATGTTAAGTATTACAATGACTGAATGTAATTTATTGACTCATTCGTTCGTTTGGTCGTTTTTCTCTCACCCGTTCGCTCGTTGTCTATTTTCTTCTCTTCTCTTACTCGTTCGTTCGTGCTTGGTTCGTTCTTTCATTATTTGGTTCGTTTGTTTGTTCCCTCACCCGTTCGCTCGTTCTTACGGTCGTGTGCTCGTTGTCTTTTCTCTTACTCGTTAGCTCGTGCTTGGTTCATTCGTTTGTTCTGTCACCCGTTTGCTCGTTCTCGCGGTCGTACGTTCGTTGTCTTTTCTCTTACTCGTTCGTTCGTGCTTGGTTGATTCGTTTGTTCTCTCACCCGTTTGCTCGTTCTCACGGTCGTACGTTCGTTGTCCCTTATCTTGCTCGTTCGTTCGTGCTCGATTCGTTCACCGCTTTCATTCTTGGGTTTGTTTGTTTGATCGTTTGTTCTCTCACCCGTTTGCTCGTTCTTACGGTCGTGCGTTAGTTGTCTCTTCTTTTGTTCGTCCGTTCGTGCTTGGTTCGTTCTCTCATTCTTTGGTTCGTTTATTTTTTTCGTTCTTTCTTTTCTTCATTTGTTTGTTCGTTTGATTTTTCGGTGGTTATTTTATTTGTAATTTCATTCTTTCGTCCGTTCCTTCTTTCTTTCTTTCCTTTGGAGCCGTCGTATAAAGAAATCGTGAAAATATCTGTGAATGGATGGAGTGGGATTCCGAGTGAAGAGACTAATTGTGAACTGCGCACCTCCGAGAAGGGGTTGTAGCAGTTTTCCATCATATATAGATTGGTTTCCCTTACTTTGCTTGTGATTGGTCCAGAAGCCTTGCACGTTTTCTCCCAAATTACATGCGAAACTAAAGTGTCCAATCACAATTTGGTCCACCGTGTTCCTGCGATTTAGGCCGATTGCGATCACATGTATTTTCTTTGAGCTTCTATTGGATACCTGCAATATTTTCATACATTTGTTTTGACTAACCGTTATGATTACTTTGGCTTTTGCAATAATGACTACGATCTAACATTTCCTGTCTACTCTTTAGGTGTGAGGGCCGTGGAAGGGAGAGATCTTAACTTCACAAGAATTCTACAGGAGATGGTTTCATGTGAACGCGTGAGCACGGTGAATTGGATTCTCAATGAAAGTAAATTTGCCTGCTGTGACTCATGTCAATGTCCCACAAATCATTGTGAGATAGGATCCGATTGCCATTGCGACGAAGTCAGTTTAGATTTTAGGAGAAGATTAAGATTTACGGGAGGTGTAATAATACTGACCTACATTCAAGGTAATGATGACAGAAGGGAGATTAACGTCACATATGACACTGAAGAAGACTCTGGTGCGAAGAGATCAGTCGGGCCGAGGACGATACGTATTTTGGTCGAGAACGCTCGGCATTTTTCGTCATTTGTAGTCACGAATACTGCTACCCTGGTAATGTCCACTTCTCCTAAGTCTTTATCTCGAAGCTGTGTATCCAGTATATCGTCCACCATCATTTACCCAGAGCATGTAGAACACAAACCGACGACGAGTGGTGCATTAGCCACGAACACACCTGTGCTGCCGATATTGACGGTGATTACAGTAATCATCTCTGCATTAATTCGAGATGACAAAAAAGTCCACCACGAGGGATGTCAGAATGAAGTGAACTAGTAGAGAGGCGTTTATCGACGTACCTCTCAGTTCCTCGATCTTTTTCCTCTCAATTTTGGGGTAGTCGTGCAAGATGAACTTGTATTTTGGCACGGTTCAAAATAACTAGTAAGGAGTGGCAAAGAATTGACTTCTAAAGTTTTATTAAGGGTGTCACAGCGGATTTGGACCCCCCTTCGCGGATTTGGACCCCCCCCCAACTAAACATTCCTTTTTCGTAACTTGTTCCAACTGCGAGCTTTTAGGCGATGTCCGTTAAAATTTCAACACAAGATTGCGTACTATAATTGACGGAGAAAAGGGCAGATATCGTTTCATTTCTGACACATTTATTTAAGTTGGTAGAATAGCCTACGCATGAATTAAATGACAACAAACTATTGGATTCGAACTATTGAAACTCATACCAAATCCTTTCTTATTCTGTTGCAATACAATTCTGAAGAACAAGTATGAAACTAGTACTACTCTTACTTTACTTCGTAAAGTACGTCATAATAGTGAAAACTATTTCGTCTCAGTATAAATAGTATAATCCTGAACAAGAACGAAACTAGCAATACTCTTACTACTATTACTTTACTCTTTTACAACATGTCAAAACGTTTCTATTGTGAACTGTTGGAACTCAGCTTATTTATAAATGCAAATCAACATCAATATCTTAACAACATTCGTATTTTCTAATTTTTGCGATCATTTAACGGTTTCTAGCGTTCGTAAGTCATTCATTAAGTCTGCAATACTCTGGACTATTGAAATGACGCCTAGATTTAACAATAACGAACGCGTTTCGACTTTGGTGGTCTGCAAACACTACAGAGCCACTCGCCCTTCGGGCGGTTGTTATTATTTTATATTTCACACTTTTTCAAGAGAACTGGCAAGCAAACAAATGATTTCAAAATTTACGTTTCATTTTCATTCCAGAGGTAAACAACAGACTTACAGCTGCAGGTTAATTAAACGAAAATCTTAAATTGAGACGCAATGCTGAGAAAAAGATCACGTCTACGAGAATGTTTTAAAACAAAAACCTACTTTCTGAAAAAAAAACTTTCTTTGAAAGCCTACTTTCTAAATTTTTATTATTTCTATTAGGAAGTTATGTATGGTAATGTTTTTACTCAGTTTTGTTAAAGGGGTCCAAATCCGCGGAGGGGAGTCCATATCCGCTAGCGGATATGGACCCCGGGGGTCCAATTCTAGGGGGGTCCAAATCCGCTGGGACAAGGGCACCAAGATGGACTTGGCAGATGTTTATTCAGAAGGATAAGACAAAAAGACATTTCATTTTCTTGTGTGAGTCCGGAGTGTGAATTAGCTGCTAGTCACTTATAGGAGTCAAAGGGTTTGCTCTACCTTGATTAACCGGTAAATAAAAACATTTTAGCAAATGAGATATGAAACAACTGTTGATTTAAAAAAAAAAACCCTCCGTATCAGGAGCCTATTACTGGGCAATAATGGGCTCCTGTCCATAATTAATTTGTATTTTAATGGCCGGGTATGACTAATGAACCATATAAACAAAGCGCTCGGAAGATTAATCTGTTTTCTCAATCTATATATATCTATAGATATATATATATATGCTTATTCAAAAAAAAGAGCTTGAATAACAAAAGGATTAATTAAATTGATAATTCCTGTGAAACAAAATTAAATTGAAATAACAACGGTCAAATATGCATAATAACAACACATTTTTTTCCGCATTCTATTGCGACAAGCCCATCACCGAAATGTTCTTACAACACTAAGCGCGAGTGACAGACAGTGTAGAGTTTCTGATGTGAAAGTTGGCTTTGCTCTCTCTAAAGTTATTACAGCCGGTATTTGAGGAATCAGTTTCAACCAAAAACCGATCACATTCTTCAAGAAAGAAAACAGAGGAGAAAAAACAAACAAACGTGATATAATTCTGATATTATTACAAACGGAAAGTACATTTGTAAGTCGCACGTGTTAAACAGAGGAAGATGTTCAGTACTGCTAATTACTTATCATCGCCAAGAAACAGACTTGCAATGATTTTGTTTCAGTGGATCTTGAAGATTGTTGTAGTGGCTTTCTGGCCCTCGGCGGGTAAGTTTTGGCTAAACTGTAGAATACCCTGCCACCTATTTACATGTCACTGAATAAGAATGGCGTCTATCAAAAGTACAGGTTCCTATTTCTTGTGTTATGCCTCGTTCTTGAAAGCCTCACGACACATGTAAATGGGGTGAACCAAAGTGGCAGGGTATTCTGCCGTTTGTCCTAAGTTTTACTAACTTCTGCTGGCATGTAACATAAAAATCAATTCTATTTGAGCCAAAAAAGCTCTGATAATATTCTGATTTGTAATGTTTAAATGTATTTTGTTAACACCTTGTTTCCGGTTTCAAATTATTTAATTCAATTATTTGAGCAATGCGCTCGCAAGAAGTGATTATAAGTTTTACAAACACAATTAATCTTTTGACGCGCTGTAAAGGCATTTGAAAGTTCGTATTATTGTTAACTTACCCTGAGGCGCCATTACTTCCCGTTTCGTCCTACAGCATTCGAGATATTTTTATATTCTATGGAATTCAAATATAGTCTGTACCAAAACATGGAATGAAAAAGTAGAGAAAACAAGGAGTATGTTCAACGGCTAAAAATATATTCTGGCGAGATTTTTCAGTGAAACAATTGGACTGCTTACGTCACTCCGGTTTTCCCTTCAACTTAAGTCAAGTGGACACTAACTCTTCCTTAAATTCGTAGAATTAGTTACTTCTCAGAAAATCGCTTTACTCGCCTGAAATCAAAACGGTTCTTAACGCTTCATAGAAGGAAACACCTCTAACGATCTAGATTCAAGCGTGCGTGACAGGCCTCACAGTTTTTTATCGTCTGGGCAGAAAGCGTGACGCTCATTCATTATCATTGACCCACTGCCGAGCCCAGAAATTTTACAAACAAACCGAAATACGTAATTATCTATTACATCGAACAAGTTAGTTGGAGACCTAAACTGTGCGCTGAGCCGAGTTTTCGAGCAGCTGCTCATAATTAGCGCTGGCACGAGTGTCTCTTGAAGCCTTGAGCTACGCGAGTCGATGAGAGGTGTGCCAAGGCTCTAGCACTACTAGAGCCAGGCTTCCAGTAAACCTCTTTCTGCCTCCTCTCAAGTCTTCCTTCAGGTGAGAAAACGCGCCTCTTCCAGCGCTAATCACGACTTTGGCTCGGTTAGCTTGATTCTCAGACGATCTAGAAACGTTCACCTTTTCTGCTCGGTGAGCACCATTGTTTGACATGGTACTCTTTAAAAGGCATACCGTGTAACAGTTTAATACATCATAACTAACGTTCATTCTTGGTTACTTCTTACAGCTACAGCTTCATCAATTCTGATAAAAGCATGTACCACTGGAAAATTGACTTTACAATGCCACGGTTTTACTAACGTGAGGACAATCACTTTTATTCAATGGAGGATACGATTTGGTGACAACAGTAAATTGAAAATCTGTTATCATTGCTTGATGTCCGACGATGGGTGCACAGACAAAGGGTGCGCTCCCGAAGGATTCAAGGTACTATCCGTTTCTAAAAAAAACATTACCATAGAGCGCTCCGAAGAAAACGGTCCGATAAATCATGTCCAGATATCATGTGAAGTGAATCGTGACTCCTCTACAGCTAGTGATAGCTATGAGATCAAGTTTACTGTTAAGTGTAAGTATCGAAACAATTAGTTATATTACAACTGTGGCTTAGTTGCCAGGCCACCCTAAAGCAGGAGTGAGGCTGGGGTTAAACTTGTCATGATAGAGACGAGAGACAACTTAAATTCGGTTCAAATGGTCATGATAGTTGATGATAGTCGATGAGAATTTCAACTCTCATTCGCTATCATTGACTATTCTATTTGTGTTCAAACGGTTCAAGATAGTTGATAATAGTTGACAAAATTACGCGATGTAAACAAATATTGCGCGCGCTGAGGTCAGAAATTTCAGTGGCATTTGAAATTTTAGACAAGAAGTTGCAAGTTGAAGATAATGAAGCCTATGAGGAGATGATGAAAATGAACAACGAGAAATTCTGCGAAACTTTGATGGCTACGATTTTAGTCAGTTTACCATTTATTATTAAGGTTTGAGTCCGTTTTTGGCAAAACTGTTGACTGAAAAACTATCATTCATTATCATCTGCTCGTTCAAACGACCAAAACTATTATCAGCTATCATGTAGAATTTGAACCAGCCTGTCTAAACTGCGATAGTTGACGATAGAGTATGATAGTTCGTGTTGAAACGCACGAGATAGTTGAAACTATCATCAACTATCCCAACCGTTTGAAGACTGGCTATTAGCTTTTAAGCTCGTGTTTAGTAATGAGAGTGTGCAGGAGCGCAATGGGCTCCTGGAGTGTGTCAATCATGTCCTTCCTGAACCTTTCCTTCTTGTTCCTCTATGGTTAATTCAGACTTATCTCGTGCAATGTTTTTGTACCATGATAAGTTCTTATTTACAGTTCATCTCAATCTCAGCAACGAGGAGTATGGTTAAATTCTCAAAACCTAAACTGTATTATATGTTAACTATTATAATGACTGAATGTAGTTTATTGACTCATTCGTTCGTTTGATCGTTTTTTCTCTCACCCGCTCGCTCGTTGTCTCTTTTCTTCTCTTCTCTTACTCGTTCGTTGGTGCTTGGTTCGTTGTTTCATTATTTGGTTCGTTCGTTTGTTTCCTCACCCGTTCGCTCGTTCTTACGGTCGTGTGCTCGTTGTCTTTTCTCTTACTCGTTGGTTCGTGCTTGGTTCATTCGTTTGTTCTCTCACCCGTTTGCTCGTTCTCGCGGTCGTACGTTCGTTGTCTTTTCTCTTACTCGTTCGTTCGTGCTTGGTTGATTCGTTTGTTCTCTCACCCGTTTGCTCGTTCTCACGGTCGTACGTTCGTTGTCCCTTATCTTGCTCGTTCGTTCGTGCTTTCGTTCACCGCTTTCATTCTTTGGTTTGTTCGTTTGATCGTTTGTTCTCTCACCCGTTTGCTCGTTCTTACGGTCGTGCGTTAGTTGTCTCTTCTTTTGTTCGTCCGTTTGTGCTTGGTTTGTTCTCTCATTCTTTGGTTCGTTTATTTTTTTCGTTCTTTCTTTTCTTCATTTGTTTGTTCGTTTGATTTTTCGGTGGTTATTTTATTTGTAATTTCATTCTTTCGTCCGTTCCTTCTTTCTTTCTTTCCTTTTGAGCCGTCGTATAAAGAAATCGTGAAAATATCTGTGAATGGATGGAGTGGGATTCCGAGTGAAGAGACCAATTGTGAACTGCACACCTCCGAGAAGGGGTTGTAGCAGTTTTCCATCATATATAGATTGGTTTCCCTTACTTTGCTTTGTGATTGGTCCAGAAGCCTTGCACGTTTTCTCCCAAATTACATGCGAAACTAAAGTGTCCAATCACAATTTGGTCCACCGTGTTCCTGCGATTTAGGCCGATTGCGATCACATGTATTTTCTTTGAGTTCCTATTGGATACCTGCAATATTTCCATACATTTGTTTTGACTAACCGTTATGATTACTTTGGCTTTTGCTATAATGACTACCATCTAACATTTCCTGTCTACTCTTTAGGTGTAAGGGCTGTGGAAGGGAGAGATCTTAACTTCACAAGAATCCTACAGGAGATGGTTTCATGTGAACGCGTGAGCACAGTGAATTGGATTCTCAATGAAAGTAAATTTGCCTGCTGTGACTCATGTCAATGTCCCACAAATCATTGTGAGAGAGGATCCGATGGCCATAGCGACGAAGTCAGTTTAGATTTTAGGAGAAGATTAGGATTTACGGGAGGTGTAATAATACTGACCTACATTCAGGGTAATGATAACAGAAGGGAGATTAACGTCACATATGACATTGAAGAAGACTCTGGTGCGAAGAGATCAGTCGGGCCGAGGACGATACGTATTTTGGTCGAGAACGCTCGACATTTTTCGTCGTTTGTAGTCACGAATACTGCTACCCTGGTAATGTCCACTTCTCCTAAGTCTTTATCTCGAAGCTGTGTATCCAGTATATCGTCCACCATCATTTACCCAGAGCATGTAGAACACAAACCGACGAGCGGTGCATTAGCCACGAACACACCTGTGCTGCCGATATTGACGGTGATTACAGTAATCATCTCTGCATTAATTCGAGATGACAAAAAAGTCCACCACGAGGGATGTCAGAATGAAGTGAACTAGTAGAGAGGCTTTTATCGACGTACCTCTCAGTTCCTCGATCTTTTTCCTCTCAATTTTGAGGTAGTCGTGCAAGATGAACTTGTATTTTGGCACGGTTCAAAATAACTTGTTTACCGCGGAAAGTTGCCGACGGTAGTAGTTGCGCATGGTTTAAAGCAATGGCTGCCTTCGTGGACAATTCCTTGCTTGATGTACGCGAAAGAAATTCGATGGCTATTACGCCCAATATATCAGCAGGGAGATATTTTCCTCGCCTAAACTTGATTGACATATTGTGCGTGTAAACGATAGATCGTCTTTCGTTATTTTTGCATTTAGCGCACTACATACAATATTACAGCATACCACGAATTCTGCTGCGATTTTAATGATTTCCATCATAGTAAGGAATGGTAAAGAATTGACTTCTAAAGTTTTATTAAGGGCACCAAGATGGACTTGGCAGATGTTTATTCAGAAGGATAAGACAAAATTAATTAAATTTTTGAAAATCGCCACACGTGTGTTCGGTTACACACGTGTGTTCGGTTATCCTCAGTTCGTTTGATGTTAAGATCGTGGCTTTTTTGAGAGAGTTTGGAGACCTTTTCTGGGAGATTTCTTTTAACCTCGGAGATCAGTTTAAATGGAAGTCATAACCGTGTAACTTTCAACTTTCTTTTCCCTTTGCGGATTTACTTGTTATTCATTTCATTTACTTATATAATGCAATTTTTAATTTTCGCCGCGTTGCTGTAAATGGCAGAACTAGCCTAATTAATAATGCTAATAGGACCGAGTGGAGTCCGGTTCGGTTTGTAATCATACGAGTGATGAACAAAATCGGACGACTGCGAAGCAGGAGTCGGATTTGTTAATCACGAGTATGATTACAGACAGAATTGGACGACAAGAAATCCTATTACCAATTAATCATAACCACTTCAATTTCCGAAAAAAAAAATACACCTAGAAGAAATATCTCCAGTGGAGACAGTCTTTAGTTAAATATTCTTCCATTTGGGAAATTGCCTTGCTTTTCTTTCGATAAGTGGTTGTTGCTATGGTTACTGTGATCAATTTTGTGATTGGTGGATTTAGCCGAGTAGACCTAGTATGATTGGCTGCTTCAACTGTCCGATTACAGGTGTCCGATTACAGCCAACTGTCCTATTACACTGTCCGATTACAATTGTACAGAATGAATAGTGAAAAATGAAGCAGCTGATGCATCAATCACATTTGAGGAAACTGTAATGGTAATGATTAATAAAGAAATTGGTAGTCCTCGCGTAGCCATTTATATTAGATGTGGTTGAACTGGCCAATTCAGTGCCTTGCGCTACGCTTCACAACACTGTCAACGCGACGCAAAATGTGTGACAAATGAAGAAATAAATGAATTTAAGTCGTACATTCTCTTCCTATTGGGTTTATCCATGACAGCTCATAATCTTGGTGAAAACAGATTTTTATAGTAAAGGCATGACAAATTTCAGGTCTTACGGTTTGCGCAGGTCACAAGATTCTAAAGTGGGTCTCTTCAGACCCGACTGACGATTAACCCTTCAACGCATCAGAGTGATAAGCATCTAATTTCTGTCAACATTATTTCCCCTGAATCAAAACTTTAAGGTCATCGAGAATAAAGGAAATGATCACGAGGTCGAGGGCTCTTGATTATTAAGGAAATTCTCCCTGTAAGTGCGATCGGACACGCATAGAAAACAGTTTGAAGAACTTTCAAACTGATCATTTTAGGGTGTAACAGGATTAACCGAGCTGGCTCGGTTTACAAGATCTCGCCACATTACTGACATTTTCTTGTCTAAAAATCCCTTTGCGTTCACATTTGAAGCCGCGCTTGAACAGTAATCGAGATCTCAATTAAATCTCTAAAAGAAATCTTTTGGTTTATTCTGGCATAGTGATGCATGAATACATTTCAGTGTCATTAAGTAGAGTTTTTTTCCTAAGGATGTACATTTGTAGATCATTCGCTCTCTATTAATGCGCGTGAGAGTTGATTCCGGCGCCCCTAGACTTCTTCTTATTCAACTGTCGCGCCATGAAACTCTCGAGCTCATAATTTAATTGCCAAATAGATGTACTGTTTTCCAGAAACTCCTCTTAATTAAGAATGAGTATAATCCTTCAAGAGTTTCTACATAAAGATACTTCCATCCTTCGTCTTCAAGTTAGCTAGATAATTTTCTCTCTATTTTTATGGGTGGTAGCTGAATGATTCGCGCCCGATAAATAGCATTTTAAATAGCTGTATATTTTTTAACTTCTTGCGCTTAAGATGGTGCATAATCCTTCAAGAGGTTTTATATTTAGACAATTCTTTCTGAAAATACAAGTAAAAGTTGTAATGGAGTTGAAGTTTATAGATACTAATAAAATATTTCGAAAGCAGTCGAATAACGAAAGCCCCTACTTCAGAATCGAGAAAGCTTACACCTGCAAAAAGCTCTCATCCTTCCACATCAGCACAGCTCATTCCTCTTTTTAACAACCTATGGGAAGTTTGGGGGAATTAATCGATTTTTAAATATACGCTATCAACTGCCGCATCAATCAGGACGGTACAGAGACCTTTGCCCTCGAATGTAAATGCTCGACGGGCTTACATTCTGCGACAAGGTACCCTTGAACTAATTGTTAAGTCGCGTGTAGTTTTCTTAAGACTCTTTTTAATAAAGACAGGGTATAATCCTTCAAGAGGTTCTATTTTAAGATAATTTCCCTCTAAAAATATCGTTGTTGTTGTCATGGAATTGTCGTTTAGAAAAATTCTTGAAATATTGGGAGAGCAGTAGAAAACTGCGGAGAACCCAGATTTCAGAATCAGGAATACTTAGACCTGCAAAAACTGACTCTGGCATATCAGTAAAATTTGTGGCCTGTTTTTTTACTTTTTGAGGAAATTGGGCTTAAATGCACGGCGTTAACCGCCCCCAAAGAGGACTACACGGAGGTCTCGAATGTCAAGAATTGGCGGGCTTATAATTACATACTGCGACAAGGTACCCTTGAACCTGGATATCACAATTAACACCTCAGGGTAATAACGTCAGTTTTGATAAATAGGGAAGATAGCTATGGAAACTGTCAATGGTCAAAAAGAAAAGTAATGTATTAGTTTTTTTAAAATCGACTTTGCTCATATTCGCAGAGTTGTTACTATAGACGCAACAGATGGGGAGGAAATCTTCGTTTCTTTGAGGAAACTTTATCGCATGCAAACAGGCTAAGAGGCCTGGATGAATATTACATCAGCGTTACTTTCACCGAGGTTTACGCCCTAGGGTCGAAAGTTACTAAACTGCAAAATATTTGGTAGGCCTGGAAACAGCTGTTAGAACCTTGTCAGTGGCCGGATGTTTGCAACGAATGCAGCCCGCATTGTCGAGACCAAAAGTTGAAATCTTCCGGTGGAATTTCACCTTTGATTCTAAGGGTCGAATTCTTCCGGAGGGGGGTCTATTGTCAGGATACTAAAGTTGAAATCTTCCGGGGGCATTTCAACTTTGAATCAGACATAATGTGACACCCAATCACATTATCTATAAGACATTTCCAGAACATTCTAGACCGTGTATCTCGAAGACTGTTTAGAATCTGCTAAGAAAATAATGCAAAGGTACCCTGTTGGTCGGACATTCATGAACATCAGTCTTCTTCTACTCGGTATGTAAACACTAAAGTGAGTGATTTCCAAGTATTAGTTGAAGACACGAGGTTGAAAGTAGCGGGTAAAAATAGAGATTAGGCGAAATTGATTTAAAGATATGTTGATATGCTTAATTGTTAAGACGACTGGAATGTTTATATTCAGTTAGTGAACATGTCGCTGTCCCAATTCTGTCCCAGGATCTGCACGCCCTTGTTCTCCTATCAGTGCAAAAGTTCCTTATTCTATCAAAAATCAGGGAAAAATGGGTTAAACTTCCGTAGCTGATCATGAAGGTTTTGGATGCGCTTTGTGACGTTAAACTATGAGGCAGCTGCAAGAGCATGTGGCCAAGTCGCAAGAGCTTCAGAAAGTTCCGTTGCTCGCCTCGTTGGTGTCCCCGACGTTATTTTTATCTAGTGCCAAGAGAATCAAATATTTTTCTGTTCTAGGGTTGGTTGAAGGGCGTTTAGCTTACAGTCGGTAGCTCTGATAGAACGTAAGATTTTTATCAGCGCTAGTCGTAAAAGAAACGAAGCTAGTCGGTTTACGAAACGAAAAGTCACACTCTGAGCAAACTTCTACAACGGCTTATAGATGTAACAATCTTAACTTCAGAGCGTCGCGTCAATCAATTTGCTTTTGTCATCAGCGCAGGGTTTAATTGCGATAGTCTGAAATTTTCGAACTTTCGAACTTTTGTCGGCCCCTTCATGCCATCGATTTGGCTGAAATTTGACATGAAGTCTTGTCTATGGTCCTCATCACGAAATGGATAATGAAAAGTTCCACTTATTTTTTCTTGGCAAAGAAACGGGAAAGTGCACTTGGTCTGCACATACTTGCTCGCCAATATCGAAGGTGATCTTTTGAATTCAACTCGAGTCCTATCGTAAAAATTTCTCCAAATCTCGTGGTGTTAATGAGACGATCTTCCCTTCCTCTTAACAATTATTAAAAGAATACATGGCAAATATCTGGTTTTAACAACATATGATCCTAGCGTTCTAAGGTCGCTTTAGGCCGCCTTGAACAGTGAAAAATGTATCCCAACTTAGTACCCTAGTATCTCCAGTGTTACGTCGATTCAGAAGTTACAATTTATTTTGAACAAAATTTGTTGGTGGATTAATAGATTTCGTAAATAAAAAAATGGGGGAAATGAAACGACCGAGGAAAAAAAAATTACCTAATGTAATGACCTGGCCCATGTTTGGGACTTGGTCCTCAAAGCTCTTAGATTAATTTACCGATCAGAAGAAAACGGTCAAAGTACATTTATCGTTCAGAAAGTTTCCTAATACTACGAAATATCTTTTGCTTCAACATAAAAGTAATTATTTTTAAGCAAAATTGTTGCAATGGGATGATTTTTGGTTACTAATTGAATGTAAACAAGCCACGCGCAATTACGCTCTGAGTTTATTTCGCCTGCCGTTTTGAGAACAAAGGATTTTGTAAAAGAAACATTCTTTTCAATTCTGACATACTCTTGGTGATAGCAACTGGTCATTTATTTGAATGAAATCGCTGCGAACCTAAGATTAATGATACTTACTTGTCGCGCAACCGGTTTCGTTGATATGCGAATTCATCATGTTTTTCCGACAGGAGTATTTACCATTTCCTCAAGTTTGCAGCGTAAGAAAAACCCCTGCAACCTTTTGGCAAGTCCGTTAAAAGAATTTGCATTTATATAAAAAGTAGTACTTAAATACCAAATTTAATATAATATACTTTGGCAGTGGCTGCACACACGAAACGGAAAGTGGTTTGAGACAGACATGAACTTGAACTCGTGGGAATGTACAGGGTTTATTCTTTAGTCTGAAAGTGGAAATCTATTGCTTTATAGTTATTTGAGAATCCTGTTTGGAGAAGGTCAGTGTTTTTTTAGTACTAGTTTACTTTCCTTCATACTCCTTTTACAACGTTGCCCATAACAAGTGCGAAATTGAAATTTGTTTTGATTTTGAAGCGAACACTGAGTGGTATGATTGAGCTACAATATTGGAAAAGTTCTCGTTTTTAACAGGAAGCCAAACTTATTATTTCAGGGATCAATTTCCTTTTTTACTTCAGTTTATTTTCCAGTTCTTTGTGACCTACCATGAAGAGAATGCTCTAAAATAATGTTGATCAAGTGTGGTTTCTCGAGGTTTGTTGAGGATAGTTTCGGAGATACCATCGCCTCGAGCGATTGCATATCTCTTTTACGGTGTACTCGAGATAAAAAGCCTTATCTATAGAGCTTAAACGTCGCTGATGCTTCTTTGAGGAGCGAAATTCAATTACTATGGGCTAAAGTAGGTACTGAGACAAATTTCATGTTTATGTATCAATCAATTCGAAACTTCAACTTCCTTCCTCACGGGTATTTGAACTCCTTCAAATTCCTGTCCTGGAGCCAATATTATGTTCAAATGCCCTACCCAGGTTCTTTTTTTTGAAAAAGGAAAACTCATCGACCATGACTTTCTACTCATTTATAAGCTTTAAAACTCTAGACCTTGTAGACATTTACTTCTGAGCCGTTCACAAGTGAAAATGAAGTATTTACCCCTCATTCTAGATAAAACAAGTAAATTCCGCTGGAAAGACTTGACATTTTTCAAATTCCCAACCCGGCCCCAGCCACGGAAGGTTCTAATTTCCCTTCCACGGGCACAGACGACATTAAAATACCCGTGAGTTGCCCTGGGAAAGGGGATGTTGAAAATTGAATTGATCGATGCGTTATTTATTAGTCTC